TGTATGGAAAAGAAAACGTTATGTCCGTGGCATAGTACGGGTTCTGGCAGTGTTTGCACCGTGTGCAAAAGTGCAAGTGGCCGAAGATTGCGCTTTGAAGTAAACGCACCGTGTGCTTCTTCTTCTTCTTCTTCGCATTTCAAGCTTATCTCATATGGCATATTAGCTTATTGCGTGCTCTCAACTTAGTGTTCTAGATGCACTTCCACAGTTATTAATTGAGAGCTTTCGATGCCTGTACCATTTTTGCATTGGTATAATTGTGTGGCAAGTCCAATCATACTTCTATGCCCAGGGAAGTCGAGAAATTTTCCAACCCGAAAAATTCCTAGACCGGACCGGGAATCGAACCCAGCCACCTCCAGCATGGTCTTGCTTTGTAGCTGCGCCTTTACCGACGGAGCTAAGGGAGGACCCACGCACCGTGTGCGTAAAGCCCGATTCAAAGTAAATTTGGACGCATTCAAGTGATCATAACTCAAGAATTAAACAACATACACGGTTGATCAAAACGTCAAACAAAAGGGTATTTATTCAGCTTTCAAACGATAGCGAAAATGCCTATACATCTAAGATTGGGCCCATCGCTAAAAATCTGCTATTTATCAATTTTATGCATCGTGTCGCTTGTTTTGTTCTCGACAGTATCGCATCTCCCTTGTTTCCATGGCCCAATATTAGGCTGGTGTTTAATTAGGGTGATCCAAAAAATTGTAAATAGTATACGTATAATTTGTTTTTTTCCTCTTGATTTATGTTTCTTCTTTTTTCGTAAAACTTAGGGTAATCAAAAATTTTGTAAATAGAGGAAATGTATGTAATGTCGGCCTAAGTGTCCCTAATTTGGGCCCATACATAAATTCAGCAATCGACTAAATTTTCAATAGCAACCAAAAATGTATGGTCCCAGCGTTCATCTAGATAAAATTGATCAATAGCAGATTTTTAGCGATGGGCCCAATGTTAGATCCATAGGCCAACATTAGAGCCATTTCCCCTAGGGGAATTTACGTATTCTCGTCAATCTAAGGAACTTCCGCACTTCTATTAATATTTTCTCAGTGTCACGCACACATATGACGTGTCTGTTTGTTTACATTTATCTGCTGCTAGCTGTTTTATCAATTCCAATCGACAGAACTGTCCAAACGGGTTGAAAACGTTTTTAAGGCGCTCCAAACTTCTCAGGTGAGTGTGATTATTGTCGGCAACCTTTCCGTTTAAACTGCGTGTTAACCAGCTGTTCTATTATCGGCAACTCGAAATCAGCCGTATCAGGAATGGATAGAATCAAGTTCAACTTGCTTAAAAATCTCCCAGACGTCGCGAAGAGACGCTTTTTGAACTTATTCAATCAATTTCTGGAGCACAACATTGTTCCGGATGACTGTAGGCAAGTAAGAGTTATCGCCATTCGAAAACCCGGTAAACCCGCTTCGGATTATAACTCGTACCGTCCCATCGCGATGCTGCCCTGTATACGGAAATTGTTGGAGAAAATGATTCTTTTTCGTCTAGACAAATGGGTCGAGTCGAATGGTTTACTTTCAGATACGCAATTTGGATTTCGGAGAGGCAAAGGAACGAGCGACTGTCTTGCGTTGCTTTCAACTGAAATTCAACTGGCCTATGCGCAAAAACAGCAAATGGGTTCAGTTTTCTTGGACATTAAGGTGGCTTTTAATTCTGTTTGTATCGACGTCCTTTCGGATAAACTCCACGATAGTGGGCTTTCACAATTATGAACAACTATTTGAGCAACTTGTTGTCTGAGAAATATATGAGCTTCTCTGGAAACTCGACAACTTCACGAATTAGTGACATGGGTCTCCCGCAGGGCTCATGTTTAAGCCCCCTTCTTTATATTTTTTTATGTAAAAGACATTAATGGTTGTCTTGATGAAAATTGCTCGCTAAAGCAGCTTGCAGATGACGGGGTTGTGTCCGTTATAGGACCAAGTGCACCGGACCTGCAAGGACCATTGCAAGATACCTTAGACAATTTGTCTACTTGGGCTATGAAGCTAGGTATCGAATTCTCTCCGGAGAAAACTGAGTTGGTTGTTTTTTCTAGGAAGCATCATCCTGCACAGTTACAGCTTCAACTAAAGGGTAGAACAATCACTCAAAGTATATCTTTCAAGTATTAAGGTGCCTGGTTCGATTCCAAAAGCACGTGCGGAAAACATATTGCGTATGTGAAACAAAAATGCCAACAAAGAATCAATTTTCTTCGTACAATTACTGGAACGGAAGATCTGATCAGGTTTATCGAACTCACCATCTTTCAATTCGCGGCGAAAACACATATCCTGAAGCTGTAACGGGTTCAATACCGTTGCCTCCGAATCGCGCTTGGCTGTTTGCACTCGACGTATACGATGAGCCTCGAAGTACTCGCGGGTGTTCTCCCACTGACAGATCGTTTCGCGGAACTGTCCTTCCGGTTTCTTATCCGTTGTGAAGTAATGAACCCATTGGTAATAGAAAACTTTGAGAAGCTGCTCGACAGAAATCCTCAAACAAGATTCATGAGTCTCTATTACGAGTACATGGCGCTGGAGATTGGCCCTTCTTCATTCAATTCCTCTCGTGTTTGCCTCCAAGACTTTTATAGTTCCTCTGTAAATTTTGATCTGACCATGTTGCAAGAAATCCGTGATCACCATCGGTCGATGGTTGTTCCCTTAATTTTTGCAAACAAGTACCACCATGTCAGTAACAATAAGAGTTTTATCACAGATGGGTCAACTATAAACGCTTCCACTGGATTTGGAGTATTCAACGAACTTCATAGCGGCTCATATCAACTGCAAAAACCCTGTTCCGTATACGTTGCGGAACTAGCAGCCATATTCTACGCAGTAGAGCAAATTGCCTCACTACCATGTGATCACTATTTTATTTTTACAGATAGCCTTAGCTCATTGGAGGCTATTCGATCACTCCTGACAGAAATCCGAGCTAAATTGAGTACTTTATCTAACTGCTCCTATTTTTTTTCCTCTGTTCGGGACCTAACACTACTGCGACCAGTAAATTGATCTATTGTAGTCTATCCCGTGTCCTTAGTTTAGTGCATGTCGTATTACTCCATCACTATTGAGAAATGATGAAGTATTCGATTTTTTTACAGTTGCCACTCTTGCATTTATCGCAAGGATCCGACTCTAATTGAAAGGTCCCGCTATTTATACCCTTCGGAGTGTTGAAACACCCTCCAAAGGCGCGCCCCTTTGTCAGTCAAAATTGAATTCCTTAGCAACAAAATTAAGGTATGACACCGATAATGACCATGCATCAGAACCCTAGTCTTAACCACTTCAAACTAGGGAACAACGAAGAGAAGATTAGGAATCACATAGATGAAGACAACTAACTCATTTTTTTGCCTTGTTTCAAGATCATCCTCGGTAGACAAAGCCGAGTCTTGTCACTATCAACAAGGCATAAAAAGTAACAAGGACTAAGATGTGTTCCTTGGATTACTGAAAAATCCTGTTCCCCTAGTATGAAGTAGTCAGGAACTAGGGAACAACGGATAGAAGATTAGGAATCACATAGATGAAGACAACTAACTCATTTTTTTGCCTTGTTTCAAGATCATCCTCGGTAGACAAAGCCGAGTCTTGTCACTATCAACAAGGCATAAAAAGTAACAAGGACTAAGATGTGTTCCTTGGATTACTGAAAAATCCTGTTCCCCTAGTTTGAAGTATTCAGGACTAGGAATCCGTGGTAGATCTTACATCCCGTAACGTACCACGAAAAGGTGATCTACCCACGTTACGGGGCAACTGCTCCTATACTATCACCTTAGTTTGTGTCCCATCTCATTGCTCAATTCCGGGTAATGAGATAGCGGACTCGCTAGCTAAGGTGGGCGCTATGGAAGGTAATATTTTTGATCGACAAATCGCCTTTGCGGAATTTTTCTCAATTACCCGTCAGCACGTCCTCACCAACTGGCAACAAAAATGGAACGAGAGTGATCTGGGGAGATGATTACATTCTATTCTCCCACATGTATCGAACAAGTCATGGTTCAAAGGATTGGACATGAGCCGTGACTTTATACGTGTCATGTTAAGGCTCATGTCCAATCACTGCTCGTTAGACTCGCATTTTTTCCGAATCGGGCTCGCAGGCAGCAATTTGTGCGCTTGTGGTAGTGTCTATCACGATATCGACCACGTGCTTTGGTCTAGCACCCTCCATTGTGTTGCCAGATCCGAGTTATCCGCATCCCTCAGGGCCCGAGGAAAAAAACCTTTGCGGCCCGTTAGAGACATCTTGGCGAGCCGAGATCTCGATTATTATAATTTAATTTATGTGTTTTTGAAACGGATTGATCTGAGGATTTAGTAGTTAGTGTCATCTTGCGTTCTCTCAAGTTGCTAGGTCCCCATCGGTGTACCCCCATGTTCGTCTTTTCCTCCAGTATGTCGCTTAGTTCTAGATCAAGAGCACATTGCTAGAAAAAAAACCTTGTATTCTCAATCCCTACCCTGCCAACCGATTGTTACAATTTGTTACCCCTAACCTCGACATAGCCGTGAGTAATCGGCCCCCGCTTTACTAACGTTAAGTTTAAGTAATTTTGTAACCCAAACGATGAATATCGGCTCCGCAAATCTAGGGCAAATGAGCCTACATTCATAATACAAAATACATTCATTTGAAATATTAAACAAATTTCCATTTGGTTTACCCCTCGTGACGATAAACAAATACATTGGTAGCCTTTTTCGCCAGTTAAGCGAAAGAGTTGATCATATTGTAATATAATATATTTGGCTTCACCTTAAATTCAATAAGCATTTCGTATGAAACTAAATCGTATAATTTCCTCAGTGTAGGAACGTTGATAATGATAAATATATATGTTTATGGTCTGAGCGAGAAAAAAATCTAAGGGATTATTATCAGCGAATGAGTCCAATATGGTGTGAATTGCCCAGTAAACAGTGATTCTAATATTGCTATCCGTATAATTCCAGCTATCCAATTCGTTCTTAGTGACGAATTTACCCATCTACGACCAGAACAACGCCAGGCTCTTCTTCATGAAGGAACTGGAGCACGTGCAATGTCTGCCTATGTAGAAATCATATTCGATAACTCAGATAATCGTGTACCGGTATGTTGTTTTAGCTACAGTTATGTTGTGGAATTTATTTGATCATGTTTATTATATTTTTTTCAGATTGACAAAGAGGAAATTTTCCTTCGCCGTGTGATTGGTGCCAAAAAGGATCAGTATTTTCTTAATAAAAAGGTGGTACCACGATCTGAAGTAGTAAATTTGCTGGAGTCGGCAGGATTTTCAAACTCAAATCCATACTATATTGTTAAGCAGGGTAAGATTAACCAAATGGCGACGGCTCCCGATTCGCATAGATTGAAACTGCTGCGTGAAGTGGCTGGAACGCGTGTGTATGACGAACGGAAAGAAGAATCAATGAATATTCTTAAGGAAACCGATGGAAAGGTTGAAAAAATCACAGAGTTTTTGAAAACTATAGAGGACAGATTGAAAACGCTGGAGGAGGAAAAGGAGGAACTCAAAGAGTACCAAAAATGGGATAAAGCTCGCCGCACTCTGGAGTACATCATTCACGAAACCGAACTTAAAGAAAATAAAAAACATCTGGACGACTTGGAGCATCAAAGGAAAAGTTCAGGAGATAAGCAAAAAGTTTTCGCGCAGGAAATTCAAACTGCACAAGAGAAAATAAAGAATGCTCAAAAGTCACTCAAAGATGCAAAAAAAGAGGTGGCTACCACGAAGGATGAAAAATCTGTACTAGCAACAGAACATCAGCAGTTACTCCGTGAGAAAACTAAATTAGATTTGACAATTTCTGATCTCACCGATGAAGTGCAAGGGGACAACAAATCCAAAGAACGAGCTGAACAAGAATTAAACCGCTTAAAAATAACCATAGCTGAAAAGGAGAAAGAACTAGAAGCAGTTCGACCGCGCTACGAGGCTATGCGTAGAAAAGAGGAAGAATGTTCACGAGAGCTAAACTTGAAAGAGCAGAAACGCAAAGAACTTTACGCGAAACAAGGACGAGGTTCACAATTTTCCTCAAGAGAAGAACGAGATAAATGGATTCAAGGCGAGCTAAAATCGTTGAATAAGCAAATCAAGGACAAAATTGCCCATCAAAACAAATTGCAAGAGGATCTGAAAAGAGACGCCGCCAAACAGAAAGACCTTGAGAAGAAAATTGAGGAACACACCGAATCCTTCGAACAGTTGAGAGTGCAAATTGACGAGCATAACAAACACTACTACGAGTTGAAGAAGAAAAAAGACCACTTCCAAACAATACGCAATGACATATGGAAAAAAGAAACCCAAGTAACGCAGACTCTGTCCGGCAATAAGGAAGAATTGGCTAAGGCCGATCAAGCTTTACGATCGATGGCAGGAAAACCCATTCTGAACGGTCGAGACTCTGTCCGTAAAGTACTTGAAAGTTTCACCCAAAGAGGCGGGCAACTTGGGGATATAGCCAGCTCTTATTATGGGCCAGTAATTGAAAACTTCAACTGCGATAAGTCGATCTATACGGCTGTAGAAGTTACAGCTGGTAACAGATTATTTCATCATATCGTTGAATCAGATCGTGTTGGTACGCAGATTCTCAAGGAAATGAACAAGCAGAAACTTCCGGGGGAAGTCACATTTATGCCGCTAAATCGGCTGCAAGTTCGCATTCACGACTATCCGGAAGATCCCGACTCCATTCCAATGATTTCAAAGCTCAAGTACGAAGAGCAGTATGACAAAGCACTGAGATACATTTTCGGGAAGACACTTATATGTCGCAATCTTGAACGAGCCACAGAACTGGCCAAGAGTACTGGACTCGACTGTGTTACCTTGGAAGGAGATCAGGTTTCCTCAAAGGGTTGTCTTACTGGAGGTAGGTAAAAGTAGTATTTAAATGTGCTTTTCGTGGTTGTGCTATATTACCCCGAATGAGACTCTGCCTTCTTTTGATTGTTGCTCGTTCTTTTAACATTCATGGTACCGACATTCGGGTTACTGGAGCATAGTCGTTTTTCGTACCGCTGTGGAGGGGTTCTTTGGACACTTTTTATTGCTAGCAAACTTGCACATATTCGTATGAAATCAATAAAAGTAAAAGGATGTGGTGGAGATCCAATAGGAATACCTTTATGGTTTAAAATGAGGAGTATACACACTTATCCAGTTAAAATCTGTGAAAAATTCAAAGTTGAGAAAATGTGCTACGAAAATTCACAGACTTACTTCTGTTAACTCCGTTTAGTTATGAAAAATAAAATTTGTCGATTTTATCGAATCTTTAACGGTCATTTGAATTTTAACCGAGTTTTTCAGTAATTCAAAAACCGAGTAAAAATATACTGATTCCTGTAAAAAATATAAGTGTGATATGAACGACTAAGATTGATAGTAGAAAATGTTCGCCATATGATATAGCCATGAAACCACAGTCGGAAATGTAAACAGACGGGCTATTTTGGACGTGTGGTAAATTTTCATCTCTTTTGATAGTAAAATTCCCAACATCATAAAGTCTGTCCAAACTAAACACCCTCTACAAAATTCATAGTCAGTTCTGGCATATTACTGGTTTAAAAGAACTTTTCAAAAATCATGAATTTTTGGTACGGTGGACATTTAATATGGAGATATCAATGTGAACAATGCATTAGGTCATAAACTAACAATTTTGCACGTCCAGATCCCTTGAAATACTCAGCTTCCATCATTGCTACGTTATTCACGTAGAATCTACGTGATTTCACATAAATGTCAATAGAAATTCAGATAAAAGTTACGTGATATTCATGTCCGACAATATTAGGTGAATTTCACATAAACGGTAAGTGATTTGCAAGAATAAAAAAAATTAGTGCGATTCAATATGGCGGTGAAGCAGCTTTGGTGGCAGTTTATTGTGTTAGGTTGTTTTAATTGAAATCAATTAAATCGAGATTCAAAAACCGATTTGCAAACACACAAATTTGAATAATTATTTGCTGGACTACTACAGCGGAATTAGCGCGTTTCCTGTGAGAATCATCATGTAAAATCATGTAGTTTAATATATTGTGAAGGTCCCAAAGAAAGGAATTGGAGCCTTCAACGGTTGCTGTTGGACGATGATTTGTTGTTGCGGGGCTTGAGCACGAACACTGGCATTTTCGTGTGCCATGATTAGCTCATCCATGGTCGTGCGGACGAAGTTGTATCGGTCTTCAAATGCGACATAAACTTCCTCCTGCTGTTGAAAACATTCTTGGGGAATGATAGCAACCAGTTTGCTATGCACTGCGCTATATTCGTTGTAGGCCACATCGATATTCTTCATGTACGTCCTGAGTTGTGAGAGGCTCACCAAGTTTCGAGCGGCAACAAGCGCCCTTTGCACATGCACTACTTTCATGGTGACCTGGTCTCGCTGGCGGGAACGCGACGTTATTTCCTTCACGGTTTCGGAATCAGCACTGATTTCCCATTCTGCAAATCCTTCGAATATTGTTGACTCGTCGTGCTGCTTCTGCCGGTGGTGTAGTGGTAAGCGTGATTACCTCTTACCCCAGCAGGCCTGGGTTCAATCCCAGTCGGCGCCGCCGGGATGTTCTGAGGCATAACATCTCTGATCACGCCTTTCTTCGGAAGGGAAGTAAAGCCGTTGGTCCCCGGTTCATGAGTTGATGGGTCGATAGGTAGGGTCCAGGTGTGTGAGCTGCCTCCCTGGCGTTGGTAGCATTAGTGCATAGCATGGAAAACAAGATCGACGAAAAACAAACCAAAGAAAAAAAACCATTGCAATGATTATTGACCAATTCATTTGTTTCGAACCATAAAAAATCCAAGGCTAAAGCGCAGGAAGCTTACTATGGCCCACCTGTTCACTATGCCCCTCCTTCACATACTTACTACATCTCTAGAGTCCTAGTGACCATGCCATATTTTTTACTGTTTGGAGAATCCTTACCTCGGAGGCACCATATTCGAAGCGGCTCCTAAATCGACGCACTCAATAATGTTCGACTATTTTGAATCATTAGTTTTTGAACTGTTACTTCTGCAGATATTAGTTCCAGTGCTATGGATGATGGTATAACAAAGTTTTTGAACATATCTTGTCAAAATCAAGATGCATTGCATATGCGATTGTACAAATCGTGGTTGGCTATAATGGTCAACTAATACGTTTTGCAGAAAATATCGTGTGTTGACGCAGAAAAACACCTTATTATACACCTGGCCACATCCTTACAAAAAAGATCGCACTCCTCGCATAATCAAGGTCATGCATAAATGAACCAAAAGGTGCAAATCTAGAATGATCTTGATTGCGGCTTCTATTGTTATATAGAGAAAATGTCGGCCTAAATGCACCTAATTTGGGCCCATACATAAATTCAGCAATCGACTAAATTTTCAACAGCGACCAAAAATATTCATTAGTACCGTCCCAATGACGTGTTCATCTAGATAAAATTGATAAATAGCAGATTTTTAGCGGTGGGCCCAATCTTAGATCCATAGGCCAACATTAGAGCCATTTCCCCACACTTGCACGCACAATAGGCCATACCAAGGCCTTCTTCATTATATGCGCCTCTCGCATATACCGTACAATAGCACAATCAATCAACCTAACTGCCCAATAGATTAGGAAAACTATGTGCGGATGGGAGGAGAAACTTAAAAACACGTCTGCACTGATCGACTACCGATCCTGTTTCATCGTACCAAAATCGAGTTGCGATCAGGGTTGCCAAATGTAAATCTGTTTGTTATCCTAAAAAATCTTTTCATCTTAGTTTTTGTCCAGAAAATCTGTGATGATATTTGAGTTGATAATGTATTAATTGAATCCTTTAAAAATGTCAAATAGATAGAAATATATGTATAATAAATTACTTATGGCTTATGAAAAAAATACCTCTGACAGTTCTCATTCTTCTTTCCTAACCACAAAAAAACATGTGTTGGTGATGATAAAATATACTGAAGTGAAAAAAATGTTCTGTTTTTAAACATCTCATCTCATTTCATTTAAAAAATCTTTTATCATATTTAAAAAATCCGTGTAATCTGTTAAAATCCTAAAAATCTGTGATTTGTGAATACAGAATCTTGGTTTTAAAAACTCTGAAAAACCTGAAGAAATAGAGATTTGTCTGTAGTTTTGGTAACCCTGGTTGCGATCAAAGATAGACAATTGCGTCATCATTAGGAACGCGTTAAATATGGTGGTACGCATTGAACCAGATTGTGTTATAACAAAATTACAAATGCAGTAAGGAGGAGGTTTTCGGCTTACCTCGGAGATAGATCACCTTTTCGTGGTACACTACAGGATGTAAGGTCTACCACCGAATCCTAGTCCTGACTGCTTCAAACTAGGGGAGCAGGATTTTTCAGTAATCAAAGCAACGCATCTTAATCCTTGTTACTTTTTATGCCTTGTTGATAGTGACAATACTCGGCTTTGTCCACAGAGGATGAACTTAAAACATGGGAAAAATGAGCTAGTTATAATGAGAGAGAGAAGGATTAGTATTTTCCATTTAATTCCACTACTTTATTTGCTTATCCTTGACAGATACGCGTATTTCGTCTACAATGTGCAGACTTCTTCAGTGTCTTGTACTAATACTCGACTGAAGAAAAACATCGCATTTACCGGATATATATTAACACAGGTACTCACTTAGAAACTAGGTAAACTTAAATTTAATTTTCTATAGGAACAGGTACTCCGCTGCTTACTCGTTGATGTGTCCTAGGTAGTAACTTGAAAAGCCATGTGTGTCCGTTTCCTTGATCCCTGTTGAGTAAAGTTGAATTACGTTGTTTGTTGATCTCGAGGCTTTCTGCAACATCCAATTTCCATGGTGTAGATACGGTTCGTAAAATCGTGATGTCCTCCGTCGATAGTTGGTGGTCCTCTGTGAAGATGTGTTCTGCAACCTTTGATTTGAAATCATATGTTAGGCCTTTTTTCTCTTGCTTTTTGGCCTCCGCTATATGTTCTTTGAATCTAGTTGCTTAAGTTCTCTTGGTTTGTCCTACATATACTTTGTTACAATGATTACAGCTTATTTTATATACACCTGCTTTACCTAAAACATTAACTGGGTCTTTAGTGGATCCTAACAATGATTTCAACTGGTTATGTCTACTGGTGAAAACTAAATCTAATCCGAATTGTTTTAACTGTGGTCTTAGCTTACAAGTAATATCTTGATCAAATGGAACGGACACTTATTACTTGTAAGCTAAGACCACAGTTAAAACAATTCGGATTAGATTTAGTTTTCACCAGTAGACATAACCAGTTGAAATCATTGTTAGGATCCACTAAAGACCCAGTTAATGTTTTAGGTAAAGCAGGTGTATATAAAATAAGCTGTAATCATTGTAACAAAGTATATGTAGGACAAACCAAGAGAACTTTAGCAACTAGATTCAAAGAACATATAGCGGAGGTTAATAAGGCCAAAAAGCAAGAGAAAAAAGGCCTAACATATGATTTCAAATCAAAGGTTGCAGAACACATCTTCACAGAGGACCATCAACTATCGACGGAGGACATCACGATTTTACGAACCGTATCTACACCATGGAAATTGGATGTTGCAGAAAGCCTCGAGATCAACAAACAACGTAATTCAACTTTACTCAACAGGGATCAAGGAAACGGACACACATGGCTTTTCAAGTTACTACCTAGGACACATCAACGAGTAAGCAGCGGAGTACCTGTTCCTATAGAAAATTAAATTTAAGTTTACCTAGTTTCTAAGTGAAAATGTACCTGTGTTAATATATATTCGGTAAATGCGATGTTCTTCTTCAGTCGAGTATTAGTACCAGACACTGAAGAAGTCTGCACATTATCCTTATCTCTCTCAT